AAGCATTATTTATCATAAGTGTTTTACTTCCACCATTGAATTATATCGGAACTTCATAAAATCAGTTGGATATATTTATGTGACCTCATTTTTGGGTTTTCTCTTCTGTTTGATAAATGTGGCCACTGGTCTACAAACACTGCACTTACTGGATTTCTGTAGCCATGCAGTAAGCCTTAACATCAGGTTGAATGATTCTTTCGCCCATATACTTCTCTTTCAAAATCATGCATGATTCTAGTTATTGTGCATTTTCATATAAATGTAAGAGCTTTGCATATATCTATGAAAAGTTTTACTCATATTTTCAATAGATATAGCGTTAAACCTATAGATAAGTTTGGAGGGAACTGACATCTTTATTATGTTGAGTCTTCTAATTCCTGAGCACCCTATGTCTCTCCACTTCTTTAGGCTGTCTTTAATTTGTTCCTTAACATTTGTATTTGTTAGGATACAGATACTGTACATATTTTGCTAGATCTTTACCTAAGATTTCACCCCTTTAAAATAATTGAAAATGTTAGCTCCTTTTTTTGGTATTGTCTCACAGTTTCCTGAGATTGTTCATATTTTTATGTGACTGTATTTTTTTCTATTTCACAAAGAGTAAATCTAATATTTTGCCCTCAATGATAGAAAAGTTTACTGATTCTATCTTTTGGTATGTCTAGTATAAAACTAGAAATATAAAATTGATTTCACTTCTAAAGTGAATGACTAAATAGTTGACTAACCTAGTTCCCCACCAGAAACAAAATTTCACTTTGTTTTCATTATTTCATGTTTCACTTGTAAAGTTTCCACTTGGTTCTTTCTTTTATTTCTTTACTGAGATTTTTTATTTCTTCATTATTCTAAGATAATCAATAATAGCATGTAGAAGTACTTTTTTAATGATGACTTCTTTAGTTTCCATTAACAAAAAATTCCAACATATATCCCAGGGGCTCATGAGGATGAGAAAGGAGGATGGTGAGCTCAAAGCCAGCCTCAGCAAATTAGTGAGACCCTAAGCAATTTAGAGAACTTGTCTCTATGTAAAATATTTAAAAAGGGGGTCCCTATGTGACCTAGTGGTTAAGTGACCCTGGGTTCCATCCCTGGTACAAAAAAAATTCCAACATATGATTCATTTCACTTATGGCATCTATTGATCATATTGTCTCATTTGTGATTTTCCTTATTATTTGAATGATGATGCGATTTTTCATTGTATCATGGTCATATTTATATTATATTATGAGACTCTGTATTCTACTTCAGCTCCTTATTTTATCATCAGAGACACTCCCTTCATTATTGTAACTAGAAATATATGTGTGTATATATGTTTGGCTTCTTATGGGTACCTCTGATATCAACTTTGCAAAAATGGAGTGGTGACTCACACTTCTTCATGGCACATGGGTAGAATGAAAGTTTAGCTTCCTTTGCAGAATTCCTCACACCTTCATGGTGAAAGTATAATACTAACTTATACCACATCGTTACATCGAAGTGGGAATGGAGGTGTATCTAAACAGTTGACCACACTGATACCAATGTTGAATATCATGCAGTCCCACTGTTCTCTGTCTTTCAGATTCATTGACGGTGGATGGTGACAAAAACTTAGCTTCTCTTTGTGTTTCACTGATACTAGAGGTAGAAGGAACCAGAGTGTAAGTCAACTAGCCCTTTTTTGCTATCAGGTTGGTATAGTGGGGAGGTGCTATAGCATAATAGTCAGTAACAATATCTCACACCACCAGATGAATGTGAAGGAATAATTCACCATTAGACCTTACTAACATCACCTGGGCAGAATAACCAGGGCACCAGTTGCTTCTGCCTGGTGGAAGATACAAGACCAGCTCTCTGTTCGGCATCACTGGTATCAAGCTGTCAGGAGAATGAAAACAGTGCCTGCTTGTGTCACACGGGGAATATAAGCTCACCTCTCTACTTGATCTTGACTAAGTTACACTGTTAGAGGAATTGGAATATCATATGCTTACACTAGCAGTATATTAGATATCAATTCCTCTAATTTGAGGCTGTTGACTAACTTTGTTTCCCACCAGAAAACACTCCCAATTCCTTAGCATGACAGATTCTCTGCTCCAGATACAAGTTCCTGACCAATTGTCATATATCCTATGTCTATGCCTTTCCTCTAGCTGATTTCTGCTTAGGCTAAAAAGACTTCATTACTCTATAACTCTCTAAATATCTTCCTTTTGTTGTTTTACCTTTTCAAATTGTCTCTGCTGATTTTGCAGACATAACAAATCATGGGGCTGGTGTTGTGGCTCAGTGGTACAGCACTTGCCTTGCATGTGTGAGGCACTGGGTTCAATTCTCAGCACTGCATATAAATACATGAATAAAATGAAGGTTAGTCAACAACTAAATTTTTTTAAAATCATGAACTCATTTGTGTCCTCAGTGATGTGTTTGTACCTGTTTTACAGCATGTATTGAAATCTGGTTTGTACATTGGAATTAAAAGCATTTATATCTATCTTCACCACCCTCTAGTACAAATTATCAGTGTATCTCCAAGGTATATTTTCAATAATGCTTTATTCATGTAGAAGTCACACTTTTGGAATATTCCAGCAATTCAAAGACTGGTTTTATATTGGCTATAAGGTACAAAATCCTGCCTTGGTTTTGATTTACACTCAAGCCTTGAATATGATGACTTGAATATAAAATAGAGCAAAGGCATGAGCCTGGTTGCTTGTTGAGAGAGCTGGTAAGAAAAAAAGGGCTTGTTTCAGGGAATGACTAGTTAGGGCACTGTTGAGTCCTTATTATTACTAGTTCATATTCTTAGAGATTTATTTGTATTTATCTAATTTAATTATCTCACCTACTTGTTGATGTGGATTGTATTACAATATACATATTGCAGGTTGGTCAGGAGCCATTTCTCATATACCCTTTGTTTTAATATGTTCTCCTAAACATTTTAGACCTGTAATATATTCATAAAATAAGTAATCTAGGTGTTTTAAGGGGATAAAGCTACTGGGTGGGGGGTTCTGAGATGCCAGGATCAGTCTTCAGAGGCTTTTGTAAGACTACTTGTTTCATTGAGGATGGTTTCTTTAGATTGGTGCAGGGCAGCTAAAAGCACTTTTTATGTTCCTGTAACATACATTTATTGAGTGTCAAGTCTGTGTAAAAGGTACTGGGATATATAGTAAAAACACCTTTGTTAATGTCATTGTCTAGTGGGAGACATAGAAGGTAAACATTTATATCAGAGTGATAAGGTCTTTTAATCCATAATGTTAGTCAATGATCTAAATATCAGAGTCATAATTTTAAAAAGGGTATTGGACATTCTTTTGTCTCCTTAGGCTGTGGGGCTGTTAGCAAGAATTCCTTTGAAGGATGTAACCAAGGGGACTGAGGGAATTGTTTGCCTTGCATTTGTGTGCCTTGTGGGTGGTCTTCTTCTTTCACCTGTCAACTGCTCTTCTAAGCAAAAAGAGCTTGGTGTATCTTGCTCTAGGGAATTTGAGGGATTTGGCTTTTTGTAGAACATAATGACATATTTACACATACTTGCCTTTTGACTTTGAGTGTGCACATGTAGGTTGTATACATGTGTGAATATCACTGTCATTCTAAAGAGTTTAGAAATAATTTTTCATGCATGTAGTTTTCTTGGTTTCTTAGCACTATTTTTTTGTAATATAGTGTTGAAAAAATATCTCACATCCAAAGTCCTTGTCCTTGGAAGCACAAAAGGAGAATGCTCACAAATTCTTAAAAAGTATGAGATCTAAGATTTTTGCCACTCACTTGGACAGTAATGTAATGTGGAGGCAGCCAATAATGCCACCTCACAGCTCTCTCTCACCTGATTTCCTTTATTCCAGGTGAATTATTATTTTTTTTTCCTGATAATGATAAGAGTCCTTTTCTTCTCACAAGGGATGGGTGGAAGAATGAGAATGACAGTCCAGGTTTTATTGTCTTTTTGTAAGTGGAATGTAATGGTTAAATGTAATGGTTAAAGTTCTACAGATATTCAAATTTAAACCTCTGAGCAGCCCTGTGACTTGAGGCAAGTGAGATTATGGATATTTTTTTTTCTCTTAGATTTTCCATATAACTATGCAGTGCTTTCAAAATTAGAATACTAGTAAATATAAACTCACACACACCATCTTCTCTTTCTACTAAATTGAGGCCATAATTTTGTTTTAATATTTTGTTTTTCCAAATATTGATCTTATTTCATATGTAGAAACCATGTCTTTAAAATATTCCCTAAAGACATGATTTAGATAAGCTAAATAAACCCCATATATGAAGATAAATAGTTTTATTACTTATTCTTGTATCATAGGGAATTTTGAATTAATAATGGGCCATTAAATGAACATTAAAATAAATAGTCTGGATCAAAAATCATGTTTTCATAACTATAGAAAATAACCAGAAAATTTTAATGATATAAATGACAAAAGTAAGATATAAAAGTATGACATATGCTCCCCACATGTTTATTACCAAGAGAGAAATCAACATGGTTAATATTTTACTGTATGTTTAGATACCAAGGTTAAGGTTAATTTCATATTTTATTTCACTATATTTTTAAAAATCTTCCACAACGTCGGTGTACCTCCTTACACTCGGAAAATAAAATAATTATTAAATAATCATTACCAGGAATATTCAGGTACAAAATATAAAGGAGAGTTTGAATCAAGATGGAGGACCGTTCACAGGCTTTATTTTCTCTGGTCTGTAATTCCTCAAACTGAAAGAAACTAGTTTGTATGTACATTTGTATGTGCAAACTCTGTGTGTGTGTGTGTGTGTGTGTGTGTGTGTGTGTGTGTTTTGAATATATGTATATATTTCGAAATGTTTGTGAGAAATTCCTGTAAGACAGGAGCAGATGAAGCCGCTGTGGAGGAAGCTGTTGGGCAGCAGGCAGCTCGAATGGGGGAGGGGAGCCTGCCTGTCTGACTGGGGTTTGAAGTAAACAGTCGGGGGGGCGCGAGAGGAAATAAAGGAGAAAGCCTGTGTCAGTGTAGACTGAACGCGGGCGCGCGCGCTGACCCACCCCACTGCTGCCCGCGAAGCGGAAGGCGAGAAGGCAGAGGGCGGGACCGAGGTACAGGCGGGCTCGGAGGGGGCGGGCTCTTGAAGCTGCAAAAACCGCGGTTCCACTGCTGGGTCAAGCCAACTAGGACTGTGAAGGCCAGGCCGCGCGGACTCCTCAGAGACGTGCCGCCGCCTGCACTTTTACTGCTGCAGCCATCTCTTTATCTTTTGCCTTCCTTTCCCGCGGTCTCCTACGGTGTCGCGGTACTGCAACCTCAGCTTCAACTACAACAACAGCTAAGTGGCCGATTCCGGGACCTGGGGGTGGAGGTTGGGGCGGGCGCCAGGCGCGGACAGCACAGGCGTACCCGCCATCTCTTTCCAGCCACCACTGCTCCAGTCATCCCTCCCGGACGGCAGAAGAAAGCACCGTCGAGAGGCACACACTGTCCTTGTGCCCACAGTCAAGAGTTAGAGCGTTTCTGCCAAGCTCTGGTGAGATCTTTGATCTAGGAGAAGGGAGGACCCCTTTCTGAGATTGCAGAAAAAAAAAAAATCTTATTGGATAGTATTAACTTTTTGTCCTCTTAATCAAGCAAGGGGCAATTCTGTCTAAGTCCTCCTAAGCCCTGAACCATGTCTCCTCCGACCATGCCTCCCACGGGAGTAGATGGCGTGTCTGCATACCTGATGAAGAAAAGGCACACCCACAGGAAGCAGCGGCGCAAGCCCACTTTCCTCACTCGTAGGAACATCGTGGGCTGCCGCATTCAACACGGCTGGAAAGAAGGCAATGAGCCAGTGGAGCAGTGGAAAGGCACTGTGCTTGAGCAGGTTTCTGTGAAGCCTACACTTTACATCATTAAATATGATGGCAAAGATAGTGTGTATGGACTAGAACTGCACCGAGATAAAAGAGTTCTAGCGCTAGAGATTCTTCCTGAGAGAGTGCCAACTCCTCGAATTGATTCTCGCCTGGCAGATTCCTTGATTGGGAAGGCAGTGGGGCATGTGTTTGAAGGCGAGCATGGTAGGAAAGATGAATGGAAGGGTATGGTGCTGGCACGAGCCCCAGTGATGGATACTTGGTTTTATATAACGTATGAGAAAGATCCAGTCCTCTACATGTACACCCTGCTGGATGACTACAGAGATGGTGACCTGCGCATCATTCCAGATTCCAACTACTATTTCCCTATGGCAGAACGGGAGCCTGGAGAGGTGGTCGACAGCCTGGTGGGCAAGCAGGTGGAGCATGCCAAAGATGATGGGTCCAAGAGAACTGGCATTTTCATCCATCAAGTGGTGGCCAAGCCCTCTGTCTACTTCATTAAGTTTGATGATGATATTCACATTTATGTCTATGGTTTGGTGAAAACCCCGTAAGTTCATTGTGCTCTTTGTAATAGTTGGGGAACTATTACTTAAAATATTTTGTATTTTCATAATTGTGAACTTTGAGAACAGTTTTGGCATCAGAAATTCAGGAAAGTAAGTAAATCTTATTGTGCCTCCAACTCTTGCATTGACTAATTCCACAGTTTTGCCCCAAGTATACTGTGGTAATTTTGATATTGCTTTGTTCTTTAATGGAACATATAAATTGGGTGCTAGTAGAATATTAAAGTGTCTGTATTTTAAATGTAAAAGTAGATTAACCCTACCCCATATCCTTCTCCCTCATTATTTTTAACCTTTCTACTTTCTTCTTCCCACATGTTGAGAATCTGTCCTACATCCTTCCATATTTTCTTCTTCTTCATGAAGTTTTTCATAGTATTTTCTGTTAAAATGGGAAGCCATATTATTTTCTCTAATTGCTTTTCTCACTTGACATAGATGACATCCTGGCTGATCAGTAGCTACAGTCAATCTCTCTCTCTCTCTCTCTCTCTCTCTCTCTCGCTCTCGCTCTCGCTCTCGCTCTTGCTCTCACCCTCACTCTAATAGTTGCATATTCAATACATGTAGATGTACCAAAAAGTATTCAACCTTTTTGTTACTGATATTCATTTATTTCCTTTTTCACCAACATAACACTACCAAAACACAAAGTGATGTTTTATTTCTATAGGTTGGATTCTCAGAAATGCTAACAAGTCATATGTTTTATTTTAAGAAATTAGGATTATCATTTAAAATGAAAGTGCCTATTTTCAGCATCCTCTGCAGCATCACTTTTTAAGATTTAAAAATCTGAAAGGTGAAAAATTATGTTATTGCTTGTCACTGTGACTGCCTTTTACCTGACTTCAAAGAGGATTTCTCTTTCTATTTGAGTGTTTTTCTTTTGTGATTTGACAATTATTATCCTTTCTTCATTTATCTATTGAATTGTTGATCTTTTCCTTAAAAATTTATGAAGTGCATTTAATAATTTGTAGCTTATGTGTTATGATTTTTCTATTATATAATCTTGATTTTATTGGTTATGTCTTTTATTTTATAATTGTAAAAAAATTAGGTAGATGATTGTCTCTTTTATAACTTTCATTTCCTGTTATTTTCCAGATGGATATCACCATCCTAAGTCATTCACCTACATTTCATAATTATTTTATTATTATTAAAGTTTAAGTGTTTGAGTCATATGAAATTCATTTTGGTATGTGGTATAAGATAGAGATCCAAGTATACATTTCATTCACATTGGATATCCAATTATACAATTTATTTTAAAAAAAACCACCCATTTTCAAATTTCTGAGCCAATATTACATGATTTGTAATATACTGACTGGCCATGAAGTAGTTTTAGAATCTGGTAAAGCGAGTCCTCCTTCATTATTATTTTTTTCTTCCAATGTAATTTGTCCTCCACATTAACTCTTTCATATGAAAATTATAAGCACTTTTTTGACATTAACAAATTCTGTCTCAATTAAAATTGCATTAAATTTCTATGTTTCTCTTTGGCGTATAACAATAATATTAATTCTTAACACCGAAGTGTTTTGATATATCATTGAATTCTTTGGCTCTTATTTCTTAATATTATTCATATAGGTTTATCATATGAAATTGATCTTATTTTGAGTATTTTTACAGTTGTCACATTTTGAATTGGGTACATTTTCCTCCTCATTTATAGCTTGTTATTTTGGGCAATAAAAGCAACCTATAGATTTTTATATTTTTATCTTTTATTCAATGAATTTATTTAATCTTCTAAATTACAGTGGGTTTAAAAATAGAACATTTTGGACTCTAGGTATACAATCATTTTACATGTATATAAAAATTATTTTATTTCTTCTAATGTTTATATTGATTATATTACTTTAGCTGGATTCTCCGGAATAGTGTTGTATAATGATATAGACATACTTCACCTATTTTTAAGTTTCAAAAAAATCTTTGTAGTATTTCATATTAGTATTATATTTGCTGTTGGTTATTGATTTGCTGTTGATTATTAACTTGTTTAGGAGTTTCTTCTTTTCCTTTTTTACATAGTGTTATTATCAGAAATGGCTCCTGGGTTTATCAAATGTATTTTCATTATATAGTCTTAAAATTGTATGATCTTTTTCCTTTAATTTGTGGATGTAATGAATTAAAATGGTTGGTATTTGATGTTGAACCAAACCTTAATTTCTGGAATTAATCCTACCTGCTGCATGCTGTGTTTTATTTACCAACATTTCATTTAGAATTATTGCATTTGCATTCCAACTTGGAATTGTTTATTTTTGTTCTTTTTTATGCTCTCTTTACCAAGTTTTTTTTTTAATTAGAGATGTACTAGCTTTAAAAATATGAATTTTTGTGTTTTTAGTATTGTCCTGTGGTCTCAAGTAGTTCAAATAGCATTAGAATAAATTGTTCATTAAAAGTTAGCTAGTACTAATCTGTAAAATGATCTAATCCTGGTGACACTTTTGATTGTAGATCTTTAGTCAGTTCTCTGATTATTTTCAGTGAATATTAGTTTATTCAAGCTTTTGTTTAGAAAGAATATGTATTCTCTGTGAAATACAAAGTCCAAAGTTGTCTCTGTTATCAACCTTGTTGCTTGTATTATTCACATGCTTTATGTCCTCGTATATTTTATGCCTCAAGATTTGTCCAGTATTGAAAAATGTAATAAAATTATCAGCTCTAATGGCATTTTAAATTCTTTGTACTATTTTATTTATTTAAAATGTCACAACAAAACATGTGAAAGTATAAAAGATATGGCACACATTTGTTCATCTCTACCTCAAATGTAAAACTGACAACATTTTGGTACGTTTATTTTAGATGATGATTTATAGTTTTAAATAATTGGAACATTACAATTAATTAATCCATTTTCCAATATCATACCAGTTATTCTGAAGAGGGTAGACACTATCGTGAGTTTGGTGTGAATATTGCCCATGATTTATGCATTTACTACAAATATAACTATAACCAATAATAGTATTGATTTATGTGTTTTTTAAAAATATAAATATGAATAATCAACTATAAACCATGAGTAATTTATTTTGGTCTTTTGTTTTGTAGGGATTTTTATTTTTCCAAATGGAAAATGGACTGAAGTGACAAAAAAACAATCAACAGCACTTACTTTAAAATACTAATTACTGTTCACTTTTACTACTCCTAATACTCTGGAAGGCTTGGCCCTAGCCACAGCTCTAGGTATTGAATAAAAAAGACAATCTCCTCTTTCCCAGACCTTTTATCTGGGCTAGGAAGAGGCACATATACACCACCAGCATCTTACTTCAAGGTAGTCATAGGCCTTATATTTTTCCTGGCATGATACTGGGGTTATTCCACTTTCTGATACTCAGAAGGTGGCTAGCCCTATTCCTAGCCCTCTTTTAAGAGTTTGGGACATAATATTGGATGAAAATCTTCCTATCTTAAATAACAGCAATCTCTCCTCTTTCCCTCCCCCTACCATGTAAAGACACATGTCTTATATAATATTGCTTTCTAGCTCCTGTTCTAGTTTTAGTTATAGTTCTCACCCTCCCCCAAATCTCAAGTCATGTATCATACATTATGATGACATTGGTCCATATAGCAAAAGATTAGTTTGTACCTAGACTAGGGCCTGGCGATGGAAGAATGAGTTATCCAGTCAAAACCCCTGCTCTTAGAGCATACATCCTAATGGGTTGAAGAAGACAAGTCATCATCAAGCTTAATGTAAGTCCTTTTGGTCTTATATTGTCTCATAATAATTTGAGTGTATACAAAAACTTGTCATTCAAAGAAAGGTTTATTCTAGTTCTACCTATGGTTTAGAGATTGAGGATAGAACAATGAAATAATTTAAAGAATGTAGAAAAAAAGTCAATGTAGAATATCGTGTTCCACTATGCCTTTACTCCTAAATTTCTTGGCTCCTATACTAGAACTACATTTCTAATTATTCCATGGTAATATATGTATTTTTTCATCACACAAGCTTGCTTTGAGTCAAAGGGAGGATTTATAATGCTTCTGACATAGTTTTAGGAGGTGAAAATGTCCAGAAACTACATCCCTGGTCCCCTAGTACTTAATTATAT